TTTTTTTTTTTTTAGACAAGATCAATTTTTCCAACCACTTATCGTTCATCGTACCGCGTCAAAAGTATTTTTAACTTCACCTATTACTATTTCTTATCCTCTAAAAAGATCACATTGACGAGGCATTTTACGCTAAATATTGGCGCAACATGTTTAAACAATTATTATGCCTCGATATTCGGCCTTGCTAAACTTTCAAGCTGTAACATCCGAAGAGATAAGGCGCGTCATTGATAAAAATATTTAAAAGCGATCGAGGCGTTTATCTCGCGCGCACACACCTTATTATGCGACACAAATTAACGATGTCTCTTGACGTCGATAAACGTCCGTTTTGTCGATGATTATGCAACGTTTTTCGTTCGTTGCTTTGTATTCGATATTTATTTGACAATTATCGAATGATGAAGGACCGTGTGTCGATATTTCGAAAAAAAATTTCGATATTTTGGAATTCTTATTTGTTTGACACTTGAGTTATTATTTTCATTTTTTTTTTTCGAATAATTAACAATAATTAAGCTATTTTTATCTGTTTAATTTGTTTTGGTTGCAATTATTATACATTTAAAAAATGTTTTGAAGTGTTTTTTTTTTGCTGCAAAGTACCCTCATAGATTACGATCGAAGTTTGTGCAAGTTGAATTGAAGAGATAAATATATTCCTATATTCTTCGACGAATAATAATCAGAAGGAATTGCTTTGTGATTGCTTTGATTTAATCTCGCTTGCATGTCTTTGCTTGTGAATTTAATTATAAAACTTGTGCGATGACGTTTTTGTTGACTAATTCTTCTAATTGCAGATGTAAAAGGCGGATAATAGATTATTTGTTTATTGAATTAATTCTGTAAGATTTTGAGAATATTTTTTTTTTATGATTGATGAAAGTTCGAGTAACAAAAGATATATTTTTTTATATAAGTTATATTTGTACCTTCCTATAACATATAATCGAGAAGTTTTCAGAAACTTTGAGACTGGATTTTTTGTAAGAATTTAAATTATTAAATTAAACTACATTACAAATCAAAATTTATTATTATTTTCGCAATATAAAGTTTTAAAAGAAAATAAATTTTATTAGTTTATTGCTAAATTAAAATATTGTAAAAACTTTTCTTTTTAATTGACTTGTTGATAGACATACATATACACAACAAATTTTTAATTAATTGTCAAAAAATACTTTTTTCTCTCCGTGTAAAAACACAATATAAATCAAGTAATGAATATATTTAATTCGAGAAAATATACAAAAAATGAAATAGAATTTAATTTATAAGTGGAAACGTTAATAATAAAATTAAAACTTAGGAATCAATGCAATCACGTATCAATATATGAGTGTACGTATATTTTACCATGCTCAGATTGTCTAAAAATTCGACAATCATAAGATATTGTATTCGTGTTAGCGAAGAATCGTTGATAAAAGTTTGAAACGAAAGTATAGAAGTTGGTCAAATCGCGAGCATATACGTTCACAAGACGTTTGCTTATCTAATCGAAGACGTAATAAGAACGAAAAGAATTCATACCTTAGATAGCGACCGATGAGAATGTTGATTGGGGCAAAGAAGGCCGCTCGATTCTTCTGGAAGATCTTGAAGTTCATCCATGTTCCGATTATCGAAATTCTGATTAATTCCTTTCATGATCCACTACTCCTTTTCTTACCCTCCAACTTCTTTTCTAAAAGAATTTCAATCTATATATTTCTTTTCAAATCTTTCAAACGCGAAATAAAGGAATTGAATAACGAATGAAATTTTGAGTAAAATTTGAGAGAGAAAAACGAGTTCTTTTTTTTTTAATCTTTCAAAAAATATCGATATATGGATCGAACAAATTATTATATTATTTTTGGACTCGAATAATCTCGATTCAAAGCTTGTGAGAAGACAAGCTTTTAAGGCAAACTTTTTAAGTAAGTTTTAATCTTAAAGAGGAGCTCTGAATTTTCACGATTTTAAAATTACGGAACGCGTCGTACAAGAGGCGACGATTGATTAAAACTGAAGATTCATAAAGATTGTTCGTGCCTGTTAGTGAAGCAGAGTCGAAGTGGAATATTAATTTTCCTGGCAGAAAACGTGTTTACAATGCTTGAAATGAATACATACTGACCGATACTTAAGATTATCTGATTACTATCGTGAATTGTGGGGGCTGTGTCTGGAGCGATTGTATTGCGAATTTTTTTTATCGAATTATGATTTCCTCCTCGAATTATGGATGACTCCTTGTCAATAATACTGTTACAATTAACGATATAATCGAGCACAGCTGTATTATATCGAAGGGGGGAACGTATAAAGATATTATATCGACAAGATTAAAGACTTTGGAAGAATTTTTGTAATGAGAATCATTACAATCATTCTTTATGTTTCTTGAAAAGTTACATATACTTTGCATTTTTTTCTTTCTCTTTTTGGATCTTATTTTATTCATTCAGCATCGCATTGATACGCTTCATTATTAACAAGTTATTATAAATGACGTATCTGTGATAATAGATAAACATAAGAAAAATTAGCATATAAAAGACGTTCACATAGCAGTTATTTCTTAGATTAAAATGAGAAATTAGATGATTAATTATTATTTTCTTTATTATCCTTTTACGTAGAAACAATTTATTTCGATCTATGCAATAAATTTTCAATTTTTTAATGAACGTTCTATATCTTTCATAGACAAAGTACAAACATAGCTTCGATATCGATAACCCCTATCCATCGTGAAAAAGCAAACAATCCGTTTCGAGAGCTAGTCGAACAATAGATTGAATACGTGCATCCATCGAGCTTGATATTCGAATATGCTCAATATGATAATGAGTTTGCACTCGTAGAGATATTCGTCCTTCATCGTTGAACGATTTTGAGTCATCTACTCTTTACAAAATGGCCGTCAAAAACTTGATGATGCCGTGCATGATAATCCCATGTCTTCGTACTTTAATGGATTTTGCATTTTGTTGTGTGCAGGATAAATTATTGTGGGGGATAAATCATCTTATCGCTAAACAAGTTTCCATTGGAAGAAGAAAAATAAAGTTACATCATAATGGAATACATTTGCTGTGATTCAACTCTCTCTCTCTTTCTCTTTCTCTGTCTTTCTGATAATTTAGAAAATGTTAAAGAAGATAGCCGATAATAAAAGTTTTTTTTTTTTTCTTTAGTTGAATCGACAGTTTAATTAATCGAGAGATGATAAATTAATTGATATATTTGCGGCTGATAATTTTATGGAGATATTCAAGTAAAAAATTTTACTTGAAATGTATGTAAAAAGTTTCAGAGTTAAACAATTTGCAATGTATTAAAATTAAGAATAGTGATAAATTCAGAATTTTAAAATTTTAAGTATAATTTATTTTATATTCTATGATCATCTTTCTTTCTTAATTCTTACTTTCTTAAAATCATTTTCTAATTTTAACGAGTTAAAAATAAATTGCATGGACTATAGTATAAATAGCTGTCGTATGTCATATTTGTCTGACCAAAGTAGAGATATCCCAGTCTGGTCAGTGATTACCGACAGTGTTAGTCAGACGCGCCTAAGAAATAGGCAACCAAACGTACAAGGTTCAAGTTATATCTGCCGATTTCAAGGTGCTTGAATATCAATAAACAGATGTCTGTTTTATCATCTAACTCTTTCGATAAAAAATTTATAAATAAAAATTATTTACAAATTATTCTTATTAATATCCACTGAATCTTTTAAAATTTAAAATCTTTTAAAATTTTTAAAAAATTTTCAGAAAAGAGAAAAATATATATATTATTATATATTATATTTATTAATATTAATAATTAAAAGTTAGTGGAATTACAAACTCTTTATATATTAATCTCTTATATAAAATATTCACAGAAATATGAGATAAAGAATTCGAATTCGACATGTTTCTTTTTTTTACACCGAATGTTATGTTAGATTTTCGCTTTGTTTGCAGATGGCATGGACCAAGACAATGCTGACGTAACAACATAAGACAAAAGTTACATAACGATAGCATAATTTTTTCCTTGTCGTATTTCTCAAGAATCGTTTTCCGCTATTTTAATCTACGATCCTTGCATTATTCGAATCTGTGAAAAAGGAAAAGCAACAATTACGTCTAAAGATTTGCTCATAAATTTTTCCTCGTTTTCAAATTATCCAAAAAAAAAAAAAATTAAAAATCACATGATAAACATTGTTTTGTTTCGATATTCATTTCTCTAATTCTTCTCTTTTCTTTTTTTTTCCAGAACAATTCCTAAACGTTATCGTTCCGAAGAATCACAAAAACGAATAGCGAGTCACACATACGAGGGACACTTTCGACCCATTGATAAAAAATAATTGGAAATAGCCAATATATTCCTCAATGGAAATATTTCTTGCAAAGTAAAAACTCCGTGAGCCAAGTTCCGTTCAGAGTTAAAAGATTTGCAGTCGGAACTAATCGGAAATTACGTTTCAGGGTACAATGTACCATTCGACAAGTGTTGTGGCGAAGAAAACCATGGATGCGGAATGACACATGGTACATACGGCGGCCGATGCCGAGAAGAAGGTGCACGTGTGCGTCTATACAAGGGGGATCTTAGCTCTGCTTTCAGTCCAATCTTATCGTGCGTTCCGCTCACATCTCCTCTATACAACAGTATATATTACCGATTTGACTAACGGTATCCCGTTGAAAATTTTCGAGCGTGAATAGTGCGTGAATGTGCGACATCACACGGCGGAATTCAAAATTCATCTCGTGTTTCGTAGGAACTCGATCGTTTAGAACGTTGTTTAAAATATAATAATGATAAATTCTTACGGGCGAGAGAACGATGATGAGAACGATCGGTTCGAACGAGAGATCGAATTATTCGAATCGGGAAAATAATTTGAAACGAATCTCTATTATTTCTTTTTTTTTTTTTTCGCAGAAAGATAATCGCAAATAATCTTTCTATCTTCCAATTCTCGAAAGAGACACGCAGAGGGATCTCTTACCAATGATCGATCAAACGATATAACGTACCATTATTCAATCTGAATCTGTTCCGTATCGTTTCAGAATTTCATCGAAAAGTCGTTATCGACCGTATCTTCAGATAAACGTTGACAGAGGATATCGGAAAGCTATCCGTAAAGTAAAAATCAGTCATCAAAGTCTATGGACAGAAGTAGTTTCAAGTTTCTTTCCGAGGAGAATTTAGCTTGGAGAAATTAACCTCGAAGGATCGTTGCTTTTCGAAATTTGTCCATCGTTTCGAGGAGAGGAGAAAGATGGATCGTCGAGTGGATCAATCAACCGATAATTAAACGTCAATCGTATATAGTGGTGGACAGAGAGGCGTCGATTGATATTCGAGAGGGTGGTTCAGCGAGTGGAAAAAAATATGTTGACATCGCCTGGAATGAGTTTAATGGTGGCTGGTGTCGCCTCCGGGATATGCTTTCTCATCTACACCAGCGTTCTAAAGGGGTGAGTGCGAATTAACGAGACTTAACGTTGTTTCTCAGTGAAAGAAGGATCCTCCGATCGGATGGGCCGAAAATGGAGGACGCAGGTGGCGGTAAAAGTGGGTCGAGATCCGTGGAATCTGACTGTTAACTTTAATCGATTTTATTCAGTTTTATAAAATATCTCGCGGTGATCCTTTTTTTTTCTTTTTTCTTTTTTCTTTTTTTATTTACGATTTTAATAACTTCTGGTTTAGGATAAAATATATTTTCGAACCTTGAAGTTATCACAGATAAGCGTTAATGGCGCGTGACATGTTAGCGTGCACATGTTTCGTTTGTTTGTGATGCGTGTTTTAAATTCGTCACGGTTTCTTCTTCCTCTTCTTCTTCTTCTTCTTATCTTTCTTGTTCTCTCTCTCTTTCTCTTTTTAATCTCTTTTTGTTTGGAAATTTAAAAACGTACATGTGTAAATAATATCGGTGATAACTCGAGGCCGTGAAATTTAGAAATCGTTTCCGTTTACAGGATTCCAATCGATTTATTTCTCTTTCAATTTAACGGTGCTTCTGTTGGAATGTCAATTTTTCATAGTTACCGTTGGAAAATGTTTTCATTTTGAAAATCTTTTAAAAAAAATTAACGTTTCGAGAATCGAGATATGAATATATTTGAATGGCGCGACGCGAGTCCAATGGTTATCCGGTTTTGACACAAAGGATTGAATTAACATTTAACCATTAACGATTTTTCTAACTCTTACTCATCGAGCAAATTGATTTTTTCCATATAATGAAATTCATACTCTTAATATTTATTGCAGAAGAAATACTTTAAGATTTTTTTCTTTCTTTTCTTATTTTCTCCTCTTTTATTTTATCTAATTTTTTATTTGATGATTATCAAACAAGATAAAATTTAAAGGGAAATAAAATTGAAAATAGTCCTCCTAATAAAAATTAGAGAATGTGATGAAATTCATCGGAATAAAAACAATATTTACATTTAGATTTAGGTCTTATAAATAATCTAGAATTAGACGTAGTATAGAGAATTCATACGAGATTCTTCATTAGAAACTTCATGATAGATAAATTATATCATTTTGAAATTGTTTTGCAACGATAGATTAATTGTAAGTTGATGACGATAATATCTATTGTAGAATGAAAAACGAAAGAAAGATGAAATTTTATTAAACAAATTATTCAGATATATTCAATTCATTCATTACTGATAAGAATAATTGTTGAATGATAAAATTGAATAATTTCATCGATGCATTCCAAAGTGTCACGAGCAATACTAGGCCAAAATTTTTCTTTTGATATTTTTTATTGTATTTGTGTTTTTTATCGATGAATAATGTAAACTCTACTACGAAAAAAAAGAAGAATGTCTGAACATCTCCTTACTTTGTTTCCAAATTGCAATATTTTCCTCGATTTCTTTCCATTCAAAATAATTTCGAGATTTATTAATTCTAAAATCATAATATACTTGATATAATACAATCGTAAAATTGAAATACTTCGCATTATCTCTCGGATTTGAAGATAATAAGATTAGATTGTAATAATTGTGTTTCTGATTAACACGTAAAATAGCACAGGATTACTAATTATAGTTTTTGCGCGATGAATAAATAAAAACATTCTTCGAAAACAAAAATGTAATTCAATTTTTAATCAGAAAACAAGATAAAATAAACAAATAAATGTAATAAAGTCGACGATTTTTGATGAAAACAATGATCTTGATAGAAAAAGATTTCTCTACATCCCAGTATTGTTTTGTTTGCTTATATCATATATTATTACACTAGTAATAACCAAGCTTGTTATTTTTTTTTATTTTTCCAATTAACATTTATTAACTCTTGAACGATCAATATTTATACATTATATTATATTTTAAAAATAATTTTACCTCCAAAATTCTATACATTATTATAACGCTAAAAGATTGTGAAAAAAAGTGATATTAAATATTTTCATTTTCTCAAAATATTTCAGTAAGTGAAAAAAAAAAAAAAATAGTAGTATATATCGACCATTCTTAAGATAGAATATCATATCTGTGCTTATATTTAAATATCAACATCATATTTAAATATACAACAATAATTAACAAGTGATTCTATCGTGAAAAAAAGAATCCAATAAAAAATTTACAACGTTACAATAAGGATATCCAAGCGTATATCCCCCCCTTTTTCTGCATCATCTTCTACAATCTTCACACATTTTCTCGTCCATAAAACTCTATACTCTGCGTTCACCTGCACAGAAGCGTGTAATAGGTTCACGGTAATCGCGTTCAAAGTTCCTTTTCGAATCATTTCCCGTGTAAACTTTTAATGATCAACAAGTGAGACTCCTCACTTCATGATTCCTCGATTCATCTCGAATCTTTGTTTTAGATGTCTTTTGATATCGAACGAGAGAACACGTGATGAGGAAAGAGGAAAGAGGAGAGAAAGAGTGAGAGAAAGAGAGGAGAGGTAGAGGTAGAGGCTGGTTTCTTAACGATCCAGTCGGAATTTCTTCGTTCCAAGTCAATATTAAACGAGGCGCTCGATGTTTCGAGCTGTTGGCCAAAGTAGACCGGCCAAAGGAGGCCTCCGAGAGGAATCTTTGGCCGTTATG